AATTACAGTCCTTTAGCTTCTGAGGTACTCGAGTTATCAGCTTGCCCGAAAAAAAATTTGGCGGTCTCGTACGCGGGCGCCACGCTTACCCGAGGGCTGGGTTTGAGCTCACTAATACCCACTTGGACATCATCCCAAGATGTCAGCGTTCTAACTTCTCAGATCTCCGAGTTATGAACTTACACGAAAAAAATTTTGGCGGGCTCGTACGCGAGTACCACGCTCACCCGAGGGCTAGTTTTGAGCTCACTAATACCCACTTGGACGGGGAACATTATCCCAAGATTTCAGCCTTCTAGCTTCTCAGATCCTCGAGTTATGAACTGACCCCGAAAAAATTTTGGCGGACCCGTACGCGGGTACCACGCGGGTTTTGGCGCCCATTTTGGAGATTGGGGGCGGTACGTGCATTTAGATTAATTCCAGCCCCACAGCTTTTACAGGTCCAGAGATGAAAGTGCGTGACAGACGCACACACAGACACACAGACACACAGACGCACAGACACACAGACACACGGACACACAGACAGCCTCTCGTCAATATGCGTTTTTCGCATTGCATTGCTGCAAAAAACGCATAAAAACGTACATTGCGACAACCCTGCCTGTGTGTATGTGTGTGTGCTCGTCTATTCGGGTGTTTCAACTCGGCAACCAAGCAAGTTTCAGCGCCAAGATTTTGCTAGTAGGTTCCGGGGCCAAGTGCCACCCCAGAACCGCGGTACCAACCCCCACGCAAGTCTGGGCCCTGCGTACGAGGGATCTTTCCATTCTTAGACCTTATCATTTGTCAAGTCACCGAAGTCGACATTTACATCTGACACGCCACACAGCTACACATCTCGAACTTTGAGCGTCAGTACGTTACAAATCCTGGTTACTGAGATAGCTTGCGATCTTGCTACAGCACAAAATAGCGCAAAAACGCATGATCGCTCCGGGCCCACCTGGTGCGTTCCAGACTGGATTTTTGCACTAAACTCGCAGGTCACTAATAGCAGGAATGATCCCTGCGCTATAGCCTAACGCTTGGGCTCATATTGGTGGTGCTTTAGCCGCTTCCAGCATGCAGGAGGAAGGGCTTCGGTTGAGATGACAATGTTGCATTGAGGGCCGCATGGACCTTCAGATACATGATTACCAGTTTTTTGCACGATGCCCCAGCCATTTTTTGGTAACTGTTCTCTTTTTGAGAAAAATGAAGAAATATGCAATTTTTTGAAAATGCGAAAATTTCAGTACTTCACTAAAAAGTGGAAATGTTGCTAGAGCAGTCGTTCTCAAAAAATCCAAGTATGTAAATGAACTGGATGTTAAGAGAGAATGAGGGCGACCGTTAGCTGCAAAATGCACTCGTTTATGATCTTCCGATAAAGTTGAGAATTTCTCACAACCACCTGTAGGGAATTTCATTTTCAAGCAGAATTAAGACCGCACTTGAAAGTAGAATTCCTCACGGAATTTACAGTCTCGCATCTTATCCGGTAAACGAAAAAGCCACTTTGCTACAAATATCTTGAAGTGCCTTAATCCGTGGCGAAAGTGCAAACCGGTTCTCATTTTAGGTATACGATTTACCATATGGGCAACAAATGTGCTGGCAGATTTCTGCCACTATTTTCCGGCTAGTTTTCGAGTTAGGACAGTGCCACATGCAAACCTTGACACAATCCTACGCGCTGTACAAGCGTGCTCGACAGCTGAATTTGGAATTTTAAGCTCGCACATATCCCTGCAAAGTTTCAGCCTTGTAACTTCCCTAGTTCGTGAAATCGTTTCCCGTTTAAGAGGTTTGCACATTTTTTTGGGAGGTCCGTACGCGAGGTTTAGGCGCGTATGAGCGAAAATTTTCATACGATGACACACGGGGTAGGAGCATACACCCAAAATTTCAGCCTTCCAGCTTTCCTGATTACTGAGATGAAGGTGGGTAACAAAGTTCACTCGCTTCCGAATACACACACACGGACGACCCATTAGCAATATGCGTTTCTGCTCGCTATAGCGCAGCAAAAATGCATAAAAACATTTATTATCATATGATGCGTTTACGACATGCCTGGGGCTGTTTCAGATTTCCAATAAGCAACTTTCCTATTTCAGCGCAAAAGCGTCGCCTTAATACCGCAAGGACCAATCGAGGACTTCCTTTTGAACAAAGAGGTGCGACAATATTTCCTGAGTGAGCTTTGGAAACTGGGCACAAACAAAGGCCTGAACAGCCTTGAACAAATCAGGAATATACACCTGGTGGCAGATGAATTCACGATCGAAGCTGGCCTGCTGACACCGACCTTAAAGATGATTCGAATGAAGCTTAGCGACAAATTTAAAGACGTCCTTGACAAAATGTACCAGGAGGAGCTGAAACCTTACTCTACTTCTGGCTAAGATCGATGCCGGAGTGTTATTTGGTACCAGGAAGGGCTGGAACCTTACTCAGCGGTGACAAACACGGGTCTGGACAAGCGTATCATTTCTTCTACAGAAACTGAGAAATACATGCATGAGTTGTGCAGTCCTCTTGGAAGATGTAGATTCTAAAACTCCTATATATAGGAAGATGTGCTTCAAAATGCCTCAGAAGTTTTGTGCAAATGAATCAGTGTTTTCCACCTAGCTTTGTCTGTAGAACTTATTTAAAAAGTAACGCTACAGCCTCAAAATTAACTAAAAATTCGAAAGCCTGTCACACTTTGTTATATTCTTCAGTCATATTCAACAGGCTAGGCACTCAACCTATTTCTTCCCTCTCATCAAAGATTCTACTAATAGCTGAAAGCGCTTGTCTTCAACTTCAGTGATAGTACTGCTGTCAGCGAAAACCTCTCACTGGCGGCTAAGTAATCATTGAATTTTCAGTTCTTTAATGTTGTTGTAAATTTTTGTTGATGCGATGAGGAAGCTAAGAATATTAAGTGCGATATCAAAACGACAGCACATTCAGTGAGTTGTACATACCGTTATACCTTAGCTGGAACAATTCGAATTTGCGTCTGAATCCGTGACATATCGTGGCACAAGAAATATAGAGTTTTAAAGGTATACACACTTCCAGAATTTTGAGTTTGTAGGGCAGTTCCGTGAGTTTTTTCTTTTTTTTTCTATTTATTCGACTAGGAAGCTGAATAGTTTTGCACCTGGTAAAAAACAATTCAAAATGAATGATGGAGTTGCTGAATTCTCTTTTCGGCAACAATGCGATTCTTTTCAACATTTCTTGCTTTATTTTCGATAAAGTGTTTGGTATTGATACCACCGCGTATCCATCAATATATGCCAGCGGCCTGAATTTTGGCTACTCGAATCAAAACACCTAGAAAATACAGAGAGGCTGTTGACAAGGAAGACAACCAGCACAATATATTCACAGATTATACACATAAATAGCAACAGCAGTAGCGTACCGTATAACTATTACTTGCCTACATGCACTAGTGCGGTGTGTAGAACTAGCGGTGGACAGTGTCTGAAGGATCTAGCGGTGGACAGTGTCTGTCTTCATCCGTCAGATCTTTGTAAAAAGAACATTGCTTTCTCTTAGTAAAGCTCGACACACCTAGTCCGTTTTCATG